AATATATATAGCAATTTTTTTACTGTATAAATTTTGTTAAAAAACACTTTAACACTGGTTGAATAATTTTTCTTAATAAATATATATTTTTATATTAAAGTTAATATACTTAATAATTGTACTAAAATTTAAAATAAAACTTTTAATTATTATTTAATTTTGCTAGGAATTATAAATAGGGCAATAGGTCTCCTGGCATTTGATTAATTTTTTTATCCCCAGCTACAGGATAATCTGTATCTGGTAAAGAGGAGGTGTAGCTCTCAAAATACGTATCCAGAATAAAACTGGCTGTGGCTTGAGAAAAGAATAAAAAAAAAGTGCTCTTTTAGTTCCACCCTTACTTCTTAAGAAGTCCCATAAGCCAACTGAATGGCTTGTGCGGGTTAGGGGTAGGAACGGACCGCGGGCTTAAAGTCCCCTCCGAAGGATTCTATTTATTTATTTTATGTCTGAAAAAATGCTATCCTTTAAAATAATCTAAAACAATCTAAAAACTTTCAACTTTCTAAATATTTTCTAAAACACTTAAAACTCGAGTTAAAGATCTCCATTAGTTCTTAATTTAGATATTCTTTTAAATAATTTTATAGTGTGTACCTAACTACATACATACATATGTATACATTTTTGATAGTTACTTCTTTTACAAATATTTTTTTTAAGATTGAACATTAAAAAATTGTTTTAAATAAAGATAAAATAATATAAGTTTTCCATTTTTATTTATTTTTTTATAAATAATTTCGTTTTAAATGATCAATTTTTTTTTATTAAATACTGTCATCAATGATATTTGGCAGTTTATTATTATTTAATTTAATATTTTTAATGATCCCACGCATTTATTGATGACTACAGGAAATTTTCGGTGGGATGTTGATTTATTAAATTTAAAATTAATATTTCAACTATGAATAAAACATATTTTTATTTTTTTAAGTAAAAATAAAAATCACGATTAAAAACATAATTACAGGAAATGACCATTGCGAATAAAAATTACATAAATAATTCAAACATAAGAAATGATAAGAAAACACAATTACTTCCAATAATTTATCGCTAATTGTTTTATTGCTACTTAAAACAGAAAACAATTAAATCTAAAAATACTGTTTTCATGTCTTGAACGTTTGTACTTATAGGTATTAAGAAAAGTAGTTATTTTGAACGACCACAAAATGATATAAGTACAAAAATTACAAAAAATCTTCTACATATTAAACCATTAAAAATCTCAACTATTTTAGTCAATCAATTGAGCACTTATATTAAATTCATATTTTAATATGACATTGAAAATAAACTAATGTGCAAAATTAAAGCACCACTTCTTCAAAAATATTCTAGAAGGTTCTCCTATTTTGTAGCCCAAAGTTTGATTAGCAAGATTGTCCGTCAGTAGTTTCAGAAATACGCCCTTTAAACTACCCCCATGTCAAAAAAGTGAGTTTATAGATTTTGTATAATATACACATGTTACTCTTATGCTTCATAAACCATTTAAAATTTATTAGGATCTGCTAGTATTTTCTATGTGTTTTATAGTGCTTTACAAGTTTTTCCCTAGGTCCCCATAATACACTTATGCTTCTGGAGTACCTGCAGCCTTCGACCGCAGTGAACATAGTAGATCTTAGGAGTATTTTTTTTTAGGATGCTCTATCATAATATACCTGTTATCTTTCTGATCCTAACTCCTCTATCAAAACCGTTTCTGTATCCAAGTAACTTATTTCCTACCATCTCCAGGATAAATCATTCTTTTTTTTTTAACATAGAAAGACAGACTTGTAAAAGAAGTATAAATTGCTTTTCACTATGGTCACTTTGAAAGGGAGGTTTACTAACATCGCCTTTAAAAGATTTAACCCATCAGACCACATAACCACCTTGTAAAGGTTTTAACTTTTAATTCTTTTGAATAAATAAGTCGGCTTAAAACTTTTAAGCCGACTTATTTATTCAAAAGAATACGCGAGTTGAAAAAATGTTCATAAACTGGTATAACTTGTATTTTTTACGAGTGTCTAGTTAAACGCCCGAAGAATAGACAACCCAATATGGTAAACAATTTTTGACTTTAATTTTAAGTTATTTATTTATTGTTTGAAATTGTTTAAACTGTACGAATAAAGTAGATAAACTATTCTGGAGAAGTGTTTTGAAAACTGTAGAAACATAAATATTTTTCCACTACATGGTTAAAGTTATAATTGGTTGCATATCCTTTAGGCGTTTGGCTGGACCCTCGTAAAAAAAAAGGATAATAGTTATGATTCCATACAACTTACGCTTTGCGATTTTGGTAAAGTTGGATTACTGGGTGTATAAAGGATACTATAGTGTATCCTTTATCAAAGCATGTACATTTTTTCAACACGCAGTTTTACAAGGTGGTAATGTGGTCTGATGGAGTGGATCTTTGGAAACCACCCTGCCAAAGTGACCACAGTGAAAAGTAGTTTCTACTTCTTTTACAGGTCTTTGTTTCTGGATAAAAAGAGAATAATTAAGCCTCGAGGTAGTAGAAAGTAAGTTACTTATATACAGAAAAGGTCCTGATCCCCCTACACCAACATGTACAATGTTTATATAAAAAAGACTTCTACATGACTTACATTGAGGTGGACAAAAACGAGGTAAAATGGAAGGCCGCTTAATGAGTTATGTGTATAACAAGGTAAGTTATCATAGATCATATAAAATTAAAAATCCTTAAAAATGTCTGCTGAATGGTAATTCAGAAGCATAAGTGTATTCCGGAAACCCAGGAGAAAACACGTGGTTGTAAAACACAATAAAAGATCTTTGTCGATATATAAAAGACCTTTTTGGTAAGTTTTTAAAAAGTTTTTGGAGCATAATATCAACCTATGTGTATTATAAAAAATCTCTCAAATTGACTATTTTGACATTGGTAGTTTTAAGGGCTTATTTCTGAAACTACTGAACCCACGTTGACACTCTTTGGAAAACTTGTTAAGCAAAATGTAGGCTACAAATTATCCAAAGGAGAACTTTCCAGATTAATTTATTTAAATTTTATAGATGTAGAAAAGAGTGGTGATTTAATTTTTCACATCAGTTTAGGTATTTTTATGAAAAATCATTAAGTTTTTAAAATATGATTGTTTTGGACTATGGATCTTTTATTAGAAGCGCCTAAATTGTATGTTTAGCAGAAACCGTCATTGTAATTTTGTGTGCAGTCATCCCCTATTTTTTAAGTCGTTTATAGTAAGTTAAAGTTAAAAGCGGCATTAAATTCACCCTTTTTAGATAACATCACAGCTTTTATCAGCAGGTTAAATCTGGGGTATTCGTTTAAACCGAACAATTAAAGGGAGACATTAAGGCGAAAGGGTTTAATTTTCGTCGCGAGGCGGGCGGCGCACCTTTACCATCTGTGGACAACAATGAATATAAATCTGATAGGGCTGGCCCAAGTTAACTGCTAGTCACTTGCACAATATACACCAAGATCTATTATGTTTAGTATAAATGAGCGCTTATCCAAAGCAGTAAACAGGATAATGGCAAGACGTTATAAAAAACAATGGTGGCAAGATGGCAACCCCCCAACTAAAATGACATGTAATGCAAATGTCCCTAATATTGGCACCCTAAACCCCTCAAAAAGAGTTTCAATTAACAGTAACAAAACCAATATGTAATAGTATATTATAATAATTATTATATAAGAGATAATCGCCATACTATGGAGAAAGGCAGTAACTGCTAAACAAGACATTTGTGGAAAATTAGCATAAACTACATTTGTATGAAAAGCAGTAAGTTTATAATTGATTTTTTTTAAGTTATGAGATATTTGACTGCATTTCTGTGTTGAATTCGGTTACAAAATGTCCATAGCTTTACCATAGCACAAGAAAACGCATTTTGCATTTTTTTGCAAGTACTGCCTTTCTCCATAGTAGGGCAGTAATGCGCATAATCTTGAGTGTAATACTATACTTTATCTACTAAAATAAGTAGATAATTTCATTATTTTCAAAAATAAATAAATTAAATCTGACATATGTCAAATGGTTAACCTCACTTTTTACCAATTTTAAATGTTATTATAGTCGCCTTCTCCCAATTTAAAACAAGATTGGTTCAAATCATAGTGAATTTTTAAATTGGCCAATCACTAATGCCTAAAAACGTATATAATGAGTCCATTATTCCTGTTGTAAGGGAATGTTTATCATTATTTAAGAAAAAAAACCCAATGTTATGCAAAAGAAGTAAATAAAAACTAATAATATTATTATAATAATGTATATGAAGGGGTAAGAACTAAAGGGTACAAGTGCATTTTAGCATGAAAATAAGTTAAGTACAGAATTGAGTAGTTTAGAGTCCAAATAAAAAAAAATCTCAGACCTTACAATTTTTATACAAATTGTAGGAATTTTTTAATTATAATATATTATTATAATATATGAAGGGGTAAGAACCAAAGGGTACAAGTGCATTTTAGCATGAAAATAAGTTAAGTATAGAATTGAGTAGTTTAGAGTCCAAATTAAAAAAAAATCTCATACCTTACAAGTTTTATAAAAATTGTAGGAATTTTGTTGATTAATGCAAACCACAATATCAAAACAAGTATTCAGATTTTTGTCCCTAGAAAACTTACTTACTCCACTTCTCTTTTTTGCACTTTTGCTTCTTACCCCTTCATATGCAGTGGCGTAACTATAGAAGTGGAGGCCCCGGACAATTTTTCACAAGGGGGCCCTTACCAAAAAAATTTTTTACATCATTTCAACCCCCCCCTTTCCAACATGTTGGACATGTTGGACACACACAATAATATTGTTTGCTTGGAGTTTTAAAAGGATTTATTCAAAGGATGGATACAATAACGTTAAAAAAAGTGTTAAGTAATTTCTGTAAAAAATTTTATTCTCATGGTACACTACCAAAATTAAAAACAGTGAATAAAATGTAACATTTCCGAGTTTCTGACGTTACGATATACTCATTCAGAATTTAATACGCCTTACTTTGGCATCAGCGAACTTGCGAATAATTTGATCGAGGTTACTTCTCAAACGATTGGCAATTTTATGTTCGATGGACAGAATACTCAAGCAACTCAAATGCTCCTGGCCCATTGTACTTCGAAGATAAGTTTTGATGATTTTCAATTTGGAAAATGATCTCTCAGCCGTTGCAACTGTGACCGGAATAGTCAAAAACAAAATCACAGCTGTACAAACTTCTTGAAAACTTGTAGACAAAGCAGCATTTTCAACGATTAATAAATCCGCAAGTTGCTTAACAGAACTTAGTTTCTCAATTCGTTTTTTGAGACACGATCGAAGCGATATCAACTGTTCAGGAAATCTGTCACCGATGTCTTCAGCATAAGTATCCTCAAGTTTCACAGCTTCTTTGAACAATTCTTGATCCGTCATTTTTGTCAATTCTTCAGGTTGGAGAACTCGAAAAGTTTTGATGACATCCTTCAAACTCTCAAATCGATTGAGTAATTGATTGCAAATGATATCGAGACATCCATGGAAAATATTAACTCGGAATCGTGCCTCTCCATTGGATAGTCTTTCGTCTTTTCATAATTCTTCGAAATATTTCTTGGTTTTCTTGATGCGCTTGTTGCAAAACTCAACCTTGACTCCCCAAGCAGCACTCAGTTTGACCGCCTTTGTTTTCGCTCCCTCGTAGTCATTTCGGAATACTCGTAGTTCTTGATACGCTCGCTCAAGTAAAACATTTGCATGAGAAAGGTCGACGTCTGGCCGTTGAAGAGCTTTCGTAACCAGGTTCGTTGTCGTCAGAACCTTCGTGTGCATAACAACTTGAAGAACAAATTCGAAATTTTCCATCTCTTTACGTATATAAATCGCTTCATTTCGCTCAGTTTTAGAATTACTGATGAGGATGATTTTAGACAGCGCTTTCAAAATATCACAGTACCTGAATGCGACAGCTTGTAAAGAATCGTTCCGGGATGACCATCGAGTTGGACAGAGTCGTCTTTTGATACTGTTTGCAAAAAAAACGTAAATTTGCTCAATTAACTCCCAGAATCTTTGGACTTCAGGTATTGCACCCGTCGAGGCATCATTGAGAACGAGATTGAGTCTATGCTCTGCGCAATGAACGTAAATGGCTTTTTCTTCTCTATCAAGAATTTTCTTCTGAACCCCGTTGTAAATTCCACTCATTGTAGCAGCTCCATCGTATCCTTGTCCCCGACATTTTGAAAGTTTGATTTCACTTTTTTCCAGTCCATCAACAATTTTTGATTCCATTAGCCGTTTGATCATCGACTTTTTCGAATCCTAAGAAAGATTCGGTGATTTTGACATCAACTGGTTTCCCGTTTTCATCTTTGATAATTTGCACGTATCTGAAAATTTGACTCATTTGATCAATTTTAGCTATATCTTGAGTTGTATTATTTTCATGATATACATATATGTTAAGGTTACAGCCACGACAGTCACTTACCAGATGAATGATTTACTCCAGAATTAACCATGAAATAAGCGCCTCAAAAAACAATTCACGTTTCAACTCAAACTCCGTCAAACTTTATTCAGACATACGACAGAAATCGAGCAATCAAGATTGTTTTCGAAAAGTTTGTTTTGATTCAATATTGTCACTTGAAATTCAGTGCGAGAAACTTTCAAAACCTTGAGCGAGAAAAGGAAGGTTGGCCATAATGAAACATGCGCATCCGCTATGGCGCGAAAATTAAAAATTAAGAATACAAGAGACAAATAATATGATCCAGATTACGAATATAGAAATGACCAAAAGATTTGATATTTTCATATGAAAATTTTTTTTTTATATAATTATACACAACGAATTTTTTCATATAATTATATACAAAACATTTTTTTGTTTACCACTTTCGGAGGCCCCCTGATGCTCGGGGCCCCGGACAATCTGACCCCTAAGACCCCTGGTAGTTACGCCACTGTTCATATGTAATAATGTATAAGTACGACAAATACTTATTATTATCTTAAAATGATTTAAATCAAAAATTTGTATAGAGCGCCATCTATGAAACATTATGGGAATCTGTGTATCACGGTGACACTGTCACCGTCAAATGTCAAATTTTTAAATTTTATAAATTTTTAAATTTTATAAACACAATTATAAATCGAAATGTATTTCTTAAAAATTAACAGTTTTTCACAGTGAAAGTAAAGAAAATGTTTTATGAGCACTTTACAGTGGAGTACGTGCCCGAATTTAAGTTTACTGCCGGCGAAATTAAATGACCAGTATAATGTTCATTTAAACTTTTCAAATATTGGCGTTGAGAAACTATTTAATACTTTTGTATTTTTGTATTGAGATATTAAAATAATTTTCACATTTAGTATTATTTTACAAGAAAGGCAATTTATTTTCAATAAAATCGTCCGATAAGAAATGTTCTAATTTTCATGCATACGTTTTTTAATGACGTTTAACGGATTGATTTTGCGACAAATAGAAATTAAGTGTCAGTATATTCACTTACTAAATTTACCTAATGCTTAATTGTCATAGTTACAATTATGTAAATAATTGTAACTTTAACAGTTAGCTGTCTAATAAATTTAAAGCATAGATAATAAATCATATAGATACGCCACTGTCACATATTTGACGCTCCTTGTTACGCACACTCGGTCCGCTATGTCGCTAGTTGTACCCGCCTGACATTTATAGGTTTTAGGTTATGGTTTTAATTTAGGTTATCCTGTCAAATTTTGACAGTCAAAATAGTAGAAAATAAAATTACTGAGAGTTTATTTAAATTGTTTATTTGGAAAGCAAAAATAAATGTATTACATTTTAAAATAATCAAGGTATTTACTAAACTAACTAATTAACAATATAATGTACATGTATTCTAGTGAATTTTAGCTTATTAAAGAATTTGTTGTCAAGAACAAAAATCAGTATAAGGTATTACGTAAATATTTCCCAATGCTTGTCCTAATTGTGTATATATTGAATAGGTACTTAGGTTATTAAAGAATCAAGAATATTTATATTTCATAAATTTTAGCTATTCGAAGCGGTTTTTGTTGTCCAGAAACCAAATCTGCACAGCAATAGTAACCTATATTTAAATATACAAATTACAAAATAAAATAATATTGTATACATTGTATTTATAAATAAGACAAAGATATTTGTTTGTAATTACCTTTAAAGGTCTAAAGTAAAAGTGATAAATACCTTATCGAAGGAGGGTTTGGGTATAAAAATAAAAGACACTTCTTTGATAAGTTAATCACTGTTATTTTACCTATATTTAGTTTTGTGACATTCATTTGGAATTTTGACAACAATATAATAAATTTAAAATCACCTGAAGACAGTGCACAAACAAATTTTGGTAGTAGAGGAAAAGTAAATACAGTAAATAATAGCAATCATTAGTTTGCATACAAGCAGAAAACAATAAAAAAATTGTCCTTTACTACTTAAATTGGATAATATCAAATATTATACTGCATTTCAGCGTTGTAGAGAACAGTATGTAAATCGTTAACGAATGTGCAGTTTTTTTGGGATGAATAAACGCTTTTTATTTATTTATTCTTACTAATAAAAACAAGATTGTAATGCACAAATTTATACTTGGCAAATTATTCATATTAAATTTATATTAATATAATTACAACTTAAAAAAAGTAACAAAGAACATTTCTAAAATTTAAGGCCCCATGCAAATAATGGTTTATAATGTGGACACATTTGTGTATTTATTATTTTTTAAAAATTTAAACTTCATAGCTACAATTATTATTATAACCATACAAAGGAGGTTGACAAATGATTGTTTTAAAAGCGTTGAGTGAAAAGTAACTTTCAATTAAAATGGCGTTGGTGCAACATTTTTGGTATAAAGGATTTCCTAGAAGTCGCGCACCACCTTGAAGATGTATAATCTACGGACCCCTAGGAATCCCAGAAAATTGTTTAGTTCGTTATTTAAAAAGATAAAGGGGATACATATTTGTTTAAATGACAACATTGAGTACAAATAATTGGTAGATTCATTTTTAATTATCATGAAAACCCTAAACCAAAACTGCAGTTTTAAAACTTTTTAATGTTGTTAGTTTTCATCCTAGACCATGGTCTAGGATGAAAACTAACAACATTAAAAAGTTTTAAATTTCTTAGTTTTACAAGAGGTTATTTATTTTAACTTTAACTCTTTGACAGAAGCAAATAAAAACATAAAATAAATCTATAAAAAACTAAACAAACATTGAGAAACACAATCTAATAGTCCAAAAGCTCGGTAGGAACAATCATATACCTATGTATACGCTCTGATATCTTTTTTTGAATGAAGTTAAATTTTTTTTAACAATTTTCTGAGATTGGGGGTCTGTAGATCATCCACCTTTAAGGTTGTGCGCGACTTCTGGGACACCTTGTAGGTTGGCACCACATATCACGTTGTAAAAAAAATTAACACAACATTTTGAGTCGGCGAAATTTTTCTTTTTTACATTTTAATTTTTTGAACTTTATAAAAGCAATTTGTTTTACCACATCATTTATGTTTTGGGTGTTAATACCCTTTAAAATGTTATGTACATTTTTGACCCATGTAAATATATACATTAGGGTAAATAAATTAATAAAAATTGAATAAACATTGTGTAGTGGGCAGATGTCCTTATAAACATTGGGGATTAAATTTATTATTGTTTTTGATACATTATTTTTAACATTAGGGTCACAAGCTAATTTTGGTAAAAAACAATGTGTCACCTGAACACATTGAGAAAATAATTTTGTAAAGTGGGTTCTGGGTTTTAGTAATGCGTTACTATGAAACTCCCGTTCTCTTATGTGAAAGTTCGTAATTTCTTTATTTTCTGACACTAACAGACTTTTGCAAATACCACAATTGCCGATTTGTTTAAAAAATTTTTTGGCCATGTAACCTGCAATATATGCATTTGTCTGTAGTGCCAGAGTGGGAGATTCATTAAAATTAAATTTTGTTGTATTTAATACAGGCTCCACACTTTTCTCCACAATATTTTGGGGCAAATCTGCATCTAAAAACTCCAACAAATGGCTTAGTGCCCCTTCGCTGTCATCCTCCTCGCAGTTTGCCCCTGGAGAATGACTTGTCATAAAATTATTTAAAATCATCGCCTTAAAAGAATCAGCAAAAGTGGTACAAGTGGGATTTATATTGCGAACCCCGTGGCTTCTTATACAGGAAAAAAAAATTTTCCACCGGATCTTGATTTAAGTTTCTTGGGCATAAGTACTTAAAACCAAGAGAATTTAGTTTTTCCCACAGGTAAATTAAATTTTTTATTGACCATATCCAATTTCTTATTGTTGGGGGTACGTATGAACTTCCTCCTTTCTTAAACTTAATTGTTTTAAGAACAGTTAACGCCTCTTCCCAAAATTTCTTATGTTCGGATTCCTTAGTAACACCACACCTCAACTCCTTTCCAGCTTCTGGCTGCATCTTTGAACCGTTGACAGAATCAAACAACTTGTCAAAAAAAAGAAGAAAATTGGCAGTGCCTAGGGAAGACTCAGGAAGTACTCCAGGGGCTAAAAATAATAAATAAACTAAAACTGTTCCAAAAATACTTCAAGTTCCTAATCGTTCGGAAAACATTAGTGAACACCAGTGAACAGTTTATTTACAAAAAAGTCCAAGCACTAAATTTATTTTTACATCAAAATTTCGAGGTTTTACAGAAAAATGGCAACTTTCCTATTGCAGAAAATTACTATTAAAACAAAGTATTGTTTGAAAAATCTGTAACACTAAATGATTCCATCTAGGTAAGTTGTATACAGAGTGTCTCCGAACTCCATAAAAAAATGTTAATGGGTGATTCTACAGCGCAATATTACATGAAGTCCTTTGAAGATGGCACTAAAGTTTTTTCAATTTTCAAAGCAATTTTTCTTAAAAAACGGTTGGTTTTAGACCTCTTAAACAAGAGAAGCTTTATGTGTTAAATTAAATGAAAAATGAAACCAAAATACCCAATAAAGTAACTCAAAAAATAAAATGAGATGCGATGCCCTATGGCCCCCTAATAATATGTCAATATATTGACCAGATATATCTACAACAGAAAAGTAGTTTAAAGGGGCGTAGCTTCCTTATAAAGCATTTTTAACCTCATAATGGGAATTTTTTTTATATTTTGCGCTGTAAAATTACTCCTTTAATTTTTTTCGATGGAATTCGGAGACCCCTATATGTAGTATACTGAAACGATCTCAAAAGTCATCGTATAAAGTATATCAAATATTTGTTTACTAGTCTTACATACCTAATCTATAAATCCCTCTCATGGTAGACGACATCCTATGAGAGAAAACTTGGGCAGCATTTTTTACTTTCATTTTCTTTATCTTCGCTGGATAAACGTGCTGCTCCGTGATTTTATTAAGCATTTTGAAATCACTGTCCCCCACATCAATTTCAAAAATTTTTATGATGTCTTCCCAACAGGAAGTTTCTTCTTCTCCTTTCCAAATAAATGTTGCTGGCCTATTAAGAAGGTTATTTCGAACTCCTTTTAATAAATGGGGAAAGTCGAAAAGAGGAACAATTTCTTTTTTTTCAACACAAAATCCCATGTATTTATTTTCATCTCCTGTATTTAAAAAAGAGGTCCTTGTCTCTTCCTCCAGTAATTTAATGGCCTTAATATTTGTGGACATTTGGTCGCAGGCAGTTGCTACCACATTAAGGCCAATGTTTTGGAGAGCGGAAATAATACTTTTAATGTTGTAAGCTAAATCTACTGCACTCATGCCGTGCTCTGTAAAAAAATAGGCGATTGGCTGCTTCCATTTCTTATAAATGCCTCTAGCCATGAAAACCATAACGTGGTCGGCAATTTTCGGTGTCTTGGTGCCATATTGGAATCCTTCTATGGTGTCGTTTGATTCATTGAAATGTAATGAGGGCTCAATTGACATCTCATCAAAAAGGAATATGCAGTATGTTTCTAGAGGCTTCATTTGGGCAATGGCGGTTTTAAGGCTGTTTAATATAGCCATATTTAGCCCTTGTGAAAATGGCACCTTATTTAGAACCCTCATTAAAGTTCTTCTGCTTGGAAGAGCAAATGTTTTTTTTAAAAGCCTATAACCTTTAGGGCTCTGTTTTAAAAGGCTTAGAGCGAAAATTTTGTCTTCCAAGCTAAATCTTCGCCCCCTCGACTTTTTGTTTTGGGAGTTTAACTGGGACATTACAAAATTGTATGTTGTTTTGTTCAAAAAGGTTTGCAGGTATTCAGGTGACTGGGCGAATTTTAATGCTTCTTTAATTCTATCCTTGTTGTCCTCATTTTTTTGTTTAAGCCTTCTTGCATATTTTTTAAGGGAAGCACTTATTTCATATAATTTATGGGCTTTTGGCGATAACATTGCTTTTCTTGTAATATTAAGGGATTTAAGAAGGGAGGATCTGGGATTGGAGATTCTAACAGGTTCTAGAAAACAAAACAATTTAATCTATTAATATATTTGTATATTTATTTTGTAATCCCATTAATTTTCTAAAATTAAATTATTAAATTTATTGACACAAATAAATATTAAAAAACGATGCAGACATGCAACTCTGTTTAAAGTTAAATGTAAAAAAAAAAACAATTCTAGTTATTGGCATTTATTAATATTTTAATGTGCGTTAAAAAATTAAAATAATGGATAAAAAATTACCTTCTTTCACCAATTTTATTGTTGGCATACATTGTATGCATATATCAATGTTTTTCGCGTTATTTTTATTACATTGTTAGATATTAGATTTGTATAATTTGAGTCAATTAATATTTGTATACAAGCTTTTTAGAATGTAGGTTAAAATGCTTAAGGCTAGGTTAATTTAACAAAACAACAATTTAACAAACAAAATTAATTGATTCTCACATAGGTATGGTGTTTGTATTTGCATTTGTGGAAATAAAATTAATACAGGAGGAATCGTAACCTCTTAAAATGACTACTAAGTGAGCTAGAGCCCCTTCATATTATATACACAGAGTATTTCTTAATCGATAGCTGAAACTGATAGGCTCAATTCTTGGATAATTTTAAGGAAAAACGTTCATATAAACTTAGTAAGTGTAAGGTTATTACGTACTTTATTTAAATCAATTTTACTATATAGAAAACTGAGCGTCTAATCTTGTTAAGACAAGACGACTTTTTTACATAAAAAACTGTATTATTTAATACTTAATACTTTATTTTATTTACAGTTAAGTTTGGCATAACATGTTATTTATTCATAACAAATTTAACTTTTTTATATGCTCAGGTTTTGTAAATAATAATAATAAGTTTAAAATATTCCACCACCTTTTAAAAATGTCAACCAATCCTCCTGAAACAGGCAGTAACTGCAAAAAAAATGCATAATACGTTTTCTTGTGCTATGGTAAAGCTATGGATATTTTGTAACCGAATTCAACACAGAAATAAGGTCAAATATCTCATTAGTTAAAAAAATCAATTAAATACCTACTGCTTTTTATAAAAATGTAGTTTATGCTAATTTTCCACAAATTTCTTGATTAGCAGTTACTGCCTTTCTCCATAGTAGGGCAGTATGCTATTAATAATATAGTATATATTTATATAATCGCCGACGGTGGACGAGTGGTTAGTGCTGCTGACTACAAGCCGGAGGTCGTGGTTTCGAATCCCACCAGGGGTATGGCTGTTTGTCCTATTGTATATTAGTCCTTCGGAGGGGACTTTAAGCCCGCAGTCCGTTCCTACCCCTAACCCGCACAAGCCATTCAGTTGGCTTATGGGACTTAAGAAGTAAGGGTGAAACTAAAAGAGCACTTTGGTATAAACTTTGGTATAATATGTATGGGTCTCTCCATGTGAAATTTCTAACAATTAAAAATAAATATTTTAGATTGGTTTTGGTGCTATGATGTACAGAATACAGGGTGCACAAGAATACTTTTTTTAAAATTTATTGATCAATGATCAAATGGCGAAGTTTAGCATAAACTGTTCTACCACTTAACTCTAGACGAACACAAATAAACAGCCATACCCCTGTGGGATTCGAACCCACGACCACTCGACTTGTAGTTCGCAGCACTGACTACTACACCATCTAGGGCGGGTGGTGTAGTAGAGGAATACTATGTGCATCCTTTTATGGGTATTTTTTTATTTAGAGAACTACAAGGTCGATATATTAGAAAAAAGGTTGTGTAATTACAAGTTTATTAAAATGAAATTTATAAATTAAAAGAAGGGGTTCTCAAAATATTATATTAAAAAAATCCATTATGTCGGTCATATTGGAATTTTACATGGTTAAATAGATAAAAACGATGTTTCAAACTATAAATCATAATTTATGTCGGCCATTAGTTATAATGGTCATGGTTACTCAAAATATAATACCGAATAATTATTTAACCTACCTTGTAGCTCTTCGAATAATTTGGACCACCTGTATATTTAATCCTAAAGATGGGACGGTTCTCTGGCTTTTTACGAAAAAAATTTCATTTGCCAAATTTGTTTAGCCATTTTTAATATTCAATAATGTAAAATTATTTTGTTTTAATTACGTCATAAAACAAAAAGTAAATACTGATATATATATATACCTATATATATATATATTTAAAATTACCTAAGCTTAAGCATTCTAACCTTCAACGCTGAAATGCAGTATCTCCAATATATAAACAATAAAAATAATCTTTTGAAAGGATACCTAATTACTTATTATTGGAAATACTGCATTTTAGCGTTGTATAAAACAACCTGTATATTTATATTTAAATATAATTGTGAGATGATGGGTTAAACAGTTTCTGACCTCATATAACAATGAGGATTTGAGATATAAAGTATTTAAACTAGGATGTCTTACAACTTATCCAAAGAAAGTTTTACTATATGCACTTTTTAATAATTTAACTGCTTGATATATAAATTTATATAAAATTCTATTTTTTTCAACCAAAGCACCATGCCTTTAGTTCAACTATTTCAAACGTTCGTCCTTTCTGCTGTCCCTCAGTACGCAGATTTGACAATTTGATTGTCCTTTTAATTGAACAGTCATTTTACGTTACTCGGCAATTTTTGTAATAAAAAATTGAGAGTAAAAACTACTGCAATTATTATGCTTATAAGCTTAAGCCTTTTATTACAAGCATAATAAACATGTTTCCAACAGTAGCTATTTGGATAGTATCTAATTTAACTACGGTAGCTAACAATTTTTTATTATTACGGTCTCTACAAAAATTGCCGAGTAACGTAAAATGTCTGGGAACTTTTATAAAAAAATTTTTATTAGAATACTTATTTAAAAAAGCATTTGTCAGATAAGTTTTAAAACACCCTGTGTTATGCTGCCACTTTGTTGTATAAACCTGATTAGTTAATTAAAATAAATATCTACCTATAAGGTTTTGGTTTAAATAATTTTATACAGCTTGGTATTGAAAATGATTTTTAAATTTTTCATATATCTGAGTGCCACTTGATTAATTACAATTAAAGCCAAAGGATACAAGTGATTTAAAAAAATGGAGTTAAGTACTGGTAAAAAGGTAAATTTTACTTGGTAGCCAAGGCATATATACTCTTGAAAAACAAAGTCATAAAACGACAAACCATTTTGTCTATATATAAGTTTTTCATGATAAACGTCTAATTTTAAACTAATTAGATGGAATCACGCAAGAACGTCGAAAAACTAGGTATCATTTATATGTCACAAACATTTTAACCCACCCTCGTAGTAGTGTCATCCATGTCAAGTAAGCCAGTTTGAGAAAATTTAATTATTAGATAAACGTGATAAATAATAATAATAATAAAATCATTTAAAAAATTACAATATTAGTTTAAAACATTTATTTGTATGATTTCTTTGTAAAGGTATTTATTTACACCTTATTCTGAGACATATTCATAAAAAGTCAGACCCTACAAAAGCCCTGTTGGATCAACAAACTATTTTTCTTTATATTGGCAAAAGAGATTTAACATGTTAATACATGAAGAAAAAGGTTTCGTAAACTTTTAAATGGTTTCAGAAAAATAAAAGTGAAATAAAAACACCACAAAAATTATTAAATATGTGGTCAGCAACAAACTGTCTGATTTGACATGGTTTGACCAAATAATAGTAACTGTTCATACTTAAAGTTTTACTGGTATTTGTGACAGAATTTTGTAAAGATGAACCAGGCATTGCAGAAAGTTCAGATTCTTCTGTGGGAGAGCACTCCATCGGGGTTGGAATAAAGGTGTCAAATTCCTGCTCTGGCTCATCCTTAGTATTTTGAAGTCCTAAACACAAAAATAGTATTAGATATTAGCTATTTTCGCGGAGCTAATCCCGAACTAATTCCGGACATCCTAGGCATGCGCTTTTTAAAATTTGGCTTTTAAATTGTAAAGTGCGCATGACAAATATTAAAATGCGCATGCCTAGGATGTCGAAACTAGTTCGGGATCAGCACCTAAACTAAGTAATCTGTATTCTGGTAAACTTTTTAACTAATCAGTAACTTTATACAACATTTTTAACTTAAATTTATAATTATAATATATGAATTTAAGGGTTAATCAATTTTTACATACCTTTTACGAGTAAATCTGGCACTGATCTATACTTTAAATTGGTTCTGTTTTTATAAGCTGGAAACTTGCTTTTTTCTGAAAAATGTTTATCACATACTCTATAGTTTTTCCTGATGATTGCTTTCCCTCTTGGCAACAGGTCCGGTCTACCAATGGCAATAATCCATTTGTGGAGCAGCTAAAATGTTAAATCCCAGCCTTTATATTGATATTTGTATATTGTTGGTTGACACGCAAACGACCAAAGTTTATTAACAATAATTATTCATAATAAACTACATGGTACTACTTACTATATTTGTGTAAGTACTACTTACTATATTTGTGTAAGTAATTTATTGTTTTAATAACATAGATATAATTGAATAATACAATACAAACCTCGTCATCATTCGGAAAAGTATGCATCATAACTTGACTGTTGACTGTAGAGCAGCCCACAGCACAGCAATAGAACACCATGTTTAATGTTTAAGAGTACACAAATAACGATAAATCACAGTTTTTAAAGTTTTTAAACGTACAGAACAACAAATAAACACAATATAAATTTAGCAAACACTCAGGTTAGGTTCATAACATGCCCTGTGCACTCGCCTTAAACAAACAAAATCCACATTTTTGTCTAGTCGACTTTGGTTTTAGTTTACACTAGAGGCACATGTGGCAGGAGCGGCGGTTAATCTTGACGGTTGCTTGGTAACGAAATCAACAAACTTCAGTTTGATAAATTTTGTAAAGTTTTGTAAATTCATATTGTGTTTATTTGGTTTGTTCTGTACGCTTAAAAACTTTTAAAATTGCGATTTATCGTTATCTGTGTACTCTATTTTTTATATATTGCTACATTATTTGAACATTAACATGGTGTTGTGCTGTGCTGTGGGCTGCTCCAACAGTCAAGTTATGATGCATACTTTTCGCAATGATGACAAGGTTGTATTGTATTATTCAATTATAACTATTTTATTAAAACAATGAAGTAGGTACTTACACAAATGTGGTACATAATATTATTACTTTATACTGATTTGTGTTTTTTAATAAGATAAAATTCACTTGAATACAGTATTATATTGTTAATTGGTTTAGTTTAGTAAATACCTTGAATAATTTAAAATATAATACATTAATTTTTGCTTTTCAAATAAACAATTTAAATAAACTTTCAGGCCTTTTATTTTTTACTATTTTGACTGTCAAAATTTGACAGGATAACCTAAATTAAAACCATAACCTAAAACCAATAAATGTCAGGCGGGTACAACTAGCGGCATAGCGGGCCGAGTGTGCGTAACAAGGAGCGTCAAATATGTGACAGTGGCGTATCTATATGATTTATTATCTATGGTTCATAAACCAAACTGAAGTTTGTTGATTTCGTTACCAAGCAACCGTCAAGATTAACCGCCGCTGCTGCCACATGCAACTCGAGTGTAAACTAAAACCAAAGTCGACTAGACAAAAATGTGGATTTTGTTTGTTTAAGGCGAGTGCACAGGGCATGATTTAAAGGTAGGTAAATATACCTTATAAAAAGAATATACCTACTAGCCCTAATATACATTAAAATGTGTAGTTTTAAAAAAGCAGGTCCTTTTAGTTCTAGTTATATATTTTTTTTGTCCTTTCTTTTTTATCATTATTCATATAACGAACGTAATATTTCCGTTTTACAATCTTATTGAAAAAATATAAAAATATTTGAAAATAAATTATCTTAAAATAACGTTAGGCGTCAAAAACAGATGTGTAGTGACGGATGAGTTAAAATTATTTAACCTTTCTCTGTCAGACGTACGAAGTTGAAACTTGACGGACCGATAAAATGTCATAATTTTCGAATTATAATTGGACCAATAAGAGCGCTCCCGGATGAACGGACTGACGGACAAACGGATACATGAAAATTAAGCTTTATACAATGCAAATTGTCAATTTTTTATTTTGTTGAAGGGCTTTTTCGAATCTTTTGTGTTTAGGCGTTTTAATGTGAATGTCTACAGCAGCTTTTCCCATGTTGCTTAAGCTGCATGATTTGTTGCATATTTTCAATAAAATCTTTTAGGGTCATTGACAACTGGGGTTATGAATCATAACTTATGATATTAACAAAATTACCATTTAAATTTGCATTTTGCCAATCTGGATGAAAATATGTCTTTTTCTTTGGCATGTTTGCATAAAGCCGAAGCCACAGAACATAAGACCTGCAATCGGTTAATAAACTTTAGAAAAATAGGAAAACATTAGTTACATTACTTACCAAAATTAAACAAAAATAATTCCGTATTATTATGACCGTTAGTGAGACATTGAAATTGCATTCGTTTAAAAATGACACATGGGAATGCAGTGTTGCCAGGTCAAAATATGTATATGGGGTTGCCCAGAAGACAGCTTTGCCAGGTTATATTATAAAAATAATTTGATAATTTTTGTGTAACATACCTATAGGTAATATATGTAATGTATGAAACAATAAATTGATAAAAATTATTATAAATCAAGAAAAATAATTGTTTTTAATTGAAAATCAAGACATTTTAGCTATATTTAGCTTCAATTCAGGACTTTCAGGTTCAAAATTTGTATTCATGACTTTATCAAGACTTTCAGGTTTTTCAGGATTGGTGGGAACCCTGCTATTATTAAATATATTTAACTTATTAACAAATGAAACAATTCTGTTACACAATGCCTTTTCAAATACTTTTGAAAATGACGATAAAAGACTTATTGGGCGATAATTTTCCATTAAATTGGGGTCACCCTTTTTAAAAATTGGATGTACTATTGCGTGTTTTAATCCTTCAGGAAATATTCCATGTGTTAAGGAGTTATTGACTAAAAAACTTAGTGGACGACACAATTCAATATTGCAATATTTTATGATTCCACCTGGAAAGTTGTCGTAACTACTACTCATTTTGGGTTTAATAACTTTTATTATATTAAAAACTTCTGCATATGGTACAAGTTCCAAAAAACCTAGACATATTATTAAATGGGAATTTACAACACAAATTAAAGCTTGGCATATTGGACACAATATTCGTAATATTATTTAACATAAAATTATTAAAATCATTTGCTGTGCTTAATGGATCTTTAAAACTTAAATTATTATCACAATTATTACCCCTCCTTAATTCTTTTACTATTGACCATGTAGTTTGACTTTTATTGGGCGAAGAATTTATTTTATGTGTATAGAAATTTTTTCTGGCATTTTTAAGTGCGTTGTTGTATTGCATTTTTTTAAAATTATATACGATGCATGCAGGCAATTAGTTTCTACGGGCTATCGTAGAGACCACGTTGCTTCCAGCATTATATTATATTCTGTGAATAAATAATTAATTATCCTGTATTTGCACCTTACAAACATATGTATATTGTGTTTTTCCAAGTGGACATATTTATTAATAATTAAATTATTTAATTTATAAAAAAACCGGGTAATTGAAAACTGCTTAAATTCAAACAAAATTGGATAATTGAAAAACGCCGTTACATTACACACCTTGGCAGCAAAGTGACACATCTGAAAATTTGTCGAATATTTTAAGCATCCAAAATTAGTGAATAATGGTTGTTACAAATTTGACAATTTTTAGAGGTCTCACTGTTGCAGCCAATGTGAGATTTAATTTATTTAAACATTTAATCTTAAATCTTAGATCATTTCAGACACCTCTCAGGTGACATAGTTCACACCTGTCAAAAATGACGTTTCACTTGCTATAATTTATTAATTTATTAATTATTAATATTATCCAAAAGGCCCCGTAACTTTTAGGGGTCTCGTTATGTGACATGAAATAGTCTATAATGCTGCAGCAGTTTTGCAAAACATGCTTGTGTGGAATTCCTAAGGCATTCATATACGTATTCCTATTTAAATCTCCAGGAAAGTACTTGTTTGTTTGGAATATACGTTTTCGTATTTAAATCTCAAATCTCAGGGAAACTATAGTTTTCCTGAGATTTAACGTATACTTGTTCGATTGGAATAAAAAAGAGGTAGGTAGATTATTCGTTATTCCAGATCATAATACCATCAATATACCTCTCTGCCAATTTTATCCTAAGCCGTTCAGACGTTTTGGCGTTCATTATCTAAACACAAACTTTTACATAATAGTATATTATGTATCAAGTTTTATAAACGCCATTTTAGTTACGAGTTTAATTAAGCACGAGCGAAGCTTTCGAGCGGGTGTTTAATAAAAACGAGTGTCTAGAGAAGTTTATAAACGAGTTGCATACTATACTTTATCTACGACGAACAGAAAACAGAATTTAAAGCCAATTTTATTTGTTAAAATTTTGACATCTGTCAACTGTCACCCGAATTTAACCTCACTTTTTCCCAATTTATAATAAAGCTAACTTCAGCCCGTGGCGTAAAATGTCGAAAAGCCACTGTTGTTAACTTCAGCCCGTCAATAAAACGCCATAAAGTTACAGCTCGTCAATGTAGGAGTAGATAAAGCTTCGCCCGTGCTTAATTAAACTCGTAACTAAAATGGCGTTTATAAAACTTGATACATAATATACTATTATTTAAAACGACCAATGAGGGTCAGAGCCTAAAAAAGATATCAAAAATGTGGGAATATAACATAAATAATTATAATTATTATGTATTATATAATTATTCATGATGTATATTATATTGTATATTTTTTCCAAAATAAGTTTCACTACGGTCTAAGCCCACATGTGTTCATTTTAAAATTTTCAACTTCAAAAATACAATTTCTTTGAAAAAAATTAGGTAATAGTTTTTTTTTATAATTATTCCATTCATATGGTAAACTTTACCATTGCAATTGATTTGCTTGTAACCATGCTTGTAACCAGGCATGTTTAAATCTCCTTCATAATTAATTAATTTATCAACCTAATTTTACTAATGATATCTGGTGCACGCTGATACGCGTTTTCGGTAGAGCGGTTAATAATATTTAGTTTAGGTTTATCCCATTTATAATGCATTTAAATCCCGAATTCGTAATGGCTGTCTACAGTCAGTTAATAATAATAATAATAATAATAATAATAATAATAATAATAATAATAATAATAATAATAATAATAATAATAATAATAATAATAATAATAATAATAATAATAATAATAATAATATTAATAATACCAAATACAATACATTACTGAAATTCGTCTGTAATGCAAGGACCTCTATAGTACCACTAGAAGGATGAATATTGTCAACCCTTAAAGCTAACATTGCTTCAACTTTTAAAGCAAAATCTTTTGGGTTTTGGTACAAACGAGTAGTATCGACCACATCCAGGTAATTTTTGATAAATAGGGATAAGAAATTTTCGTTTTTTACGAAATAGATACTATAAATGCAAAATTTATATACAAACTTATCTGTTCACCATTGCTATTAAATAAACTTCGTTATTATTGGAGCTACAAAGCAAATTGGTGACGTTTTTTTTCTAATTAAAATGATGAAAACAGAAAAACAACTGAACGTCTGGTTTCCGAAATATGGGACATCCTGTATATTTTAACATATATTGAAAGATAATTTAATTTTGACCAAAAAATTATTATTGCATAACTACATTAAACTTAAAAATAAACAATTAAAAAGGACTTTCTGATGGTTGTTGAAATAACCAAATTATTATTATTTTTAAGTTCAGGGTAGTCAAATTTTTAGTTCCAATTTAAATTGTCTATCAAAATATATACATAAACATATACAGGGTGTCTCATCTAAAAAATGTTATTTTTGTGAAAATTTCGAAAACAGGCGTTCAATTGTTTTTTGTTTTAACCATTTTAATCGAAAGAAAAAGCGACACATATTTGCTAATCTAATTAACTTTGTAGCTTCAATAATAACGGAGTTAGCAATGGCAAGCAGATAACTTTGGACACTTTCCCGCGAAATTTTGTCGAATAACTTTTATATACGTGGGGCATTTTATTGTTTTTATAATGAATATGAAGCACCAGTTAAAAGAAATAATGATTTGAAAATGAAACTCCCATAAAATACGGCTTCAACTAATATTCGTATCTGAAGTTCTGTCCGAAAATTATGAAAATAATGGATAATTTGGAAGAATTAAACTATCCGTTTGCACAAATTTTGTGTAGAGTATTAATATTCTTTTAAGCGTCAATGTAAAGGTTTCTTTGGTGAAAAAACAAAAAGCATTTTTTTAAACGAAAATATTAAATTCCAACAAGAGAAAAATTATCTGCACACATGGAATCCAACCCAATAAACAAATCTTATAAGCACATTAACAAATTATTTTGTATATAAGAAGCCCCATCATCTTTTAATACAAATTTAACATTAAAAAGCTTTGCTAAAATACCATTTTACAGACTTACAACAGGATGAACTTATTATATGTTTATTTTCATAGGCAACTACTTAGAACGGTTAAACAAAAAACTTCAGATTTTAGTTGAAAAAAAAATGTTGCTACCTTAGCTTTGCAAAAGTAGCTATTCAAAACCTCTATAATAGCTATATATAGCCCAGACAACACCTTAAGTTTGGATTTGGCAATACATAAAATATGTCATCTAGTTTGTTAGGTAAAAATTTTACTCATAGAGTTTAAATTAATTTAATTAACAATGTTTTCCTTTAACAGCGCGTTTTACCTAAACGTCCGGTCTCTTTTTCAATACCACATCTGTCTATTACCACCGAAATAAAAAATACCTGGCGCTCGAGATTGTGAAGAATGCTGGCTTTTAACGTTTATTAATGAACAATGTAAAGAGGTAAATTTTATTAAACCCAGAAGAATTTGTAGAGTCGATAATTGAGTTGTAAACCAGGGTTTTATCGTAACCTTACAAAATTCCTTTGGAAAATTCAAACACTAGACGATTCTTTAAGTGAATTCTGTTCAAGTCATGGAAATGTTATGCCATGCCAATTCGATCAGATCTAAATTTAATGTTTGGGTTAATTTTACAAGTCGCGTCGTCCAATCAAATTTGAATAT